GCGGGATTGCACCACCTGGGCAGCAGCCCAGACGCGACTGGCCAGGGGCTGGGCGCAGCGTGCGCGCTGCTGGGTCCCCGCTGCAGGCCCAGGCTGGGGGATTCGGGCCCGGGCGCCAGAGCCGCATCCGCCAAGTGCCATGGCCGCTTTCTCCCCCCGCGGCAGTGGGAGCTGCAGCAGCGGCTGTTCCCGAGTGCCGCTGCCCGGGGGGAGAACAGCCGCCGCCTGGCCCCATGGGCCGCCCCCCTACTCTCCCTACCGCCCGACTGAGTCCTGCCTGCGCTCACTCACCCTGGCCCCACGCTTTCCCTGCGTCTCCCGGGCCTCCCTCCAGCGCTTGTGGAGGGAGGAGGAATGGCAAGCCTGGGGAAGAGGCGGGGATTCGGGGAGGGAGCCAATGGGGGAAGGAGGAGGCGGAGTCGGGGCGGGGGGGCACGAGCACTTCCGGGCTTCGGAGTATTTGCTTGTTTGTCCAGTGTCCCGACCTAACATTGGTCAGGACGCGGGACAAACAAGGAAATATTGGGACAGTCCCGATAAAATCGGGACGTCTGGTCACCCTACCCCCAGGCTCTGCTCCCCTGAGCAACTGCAAGAGCTGACTCAGCTCTGGGAGAAGAGAGCTCAGCACCCACCGGCAGCTCCCTGCCCCGCCCTGCCCCAGCTTACCTCCACCTCCTCCGTGATCGCGCCGCCGCGTCCTGCTTCTCCCCCCCTCCCTCCCAGCGCTTGCGTCACGAAACAGCTGATTCGTGAGGCAGGGAGGGAGGGGGGAGTAGGGGGAACACGGTGCACTGGGGGAAGAGGTGGGGCTGGGGCAGGGATTTGGGGAAGGGATCCAATAGGGGCAGGGGGGGGGCGGAGTTAGGGCAGGGACTTTGGGGATGGGGTTGGAAGGGGGTAAGGCCGGGGGCAGGGAAAGGGTGGAGTCGGGGCGGAGGGGCGTGGGCACCCACCGGTGCCAGAGAAAGTTGGCGCCTATGGAAGAGAGGACCCAGTCTCCCAGCCCAAGAGGAGAGAGACAGGGAGTTAGGGAAATAACAGGGAGAGGAGAAGAGTGGATGACACAGAGAGGGAAGAGTGGGGTATTTATTCTTAATTTAAGAATCTTGCTCTGGGGAGTGCAGAGGTCTTCCAGGCCAAAGGACCGGGTGAGGCAAGGTCGTGCATTAATGACAGTGCAGAATGTGTTCCTGTCCCTAGACTGCATTAATGCACATGCACCAGGGGGCAGAAGTACCACTGCCCTCGATGCTGCCCCATCCCAGCTTGCCTGAGCAACCTTAATAACATTCTTTAGTCTTTTTTTTTTTGTTTTTTGTAGGTAATACTGATATAAATTCTCTGATATTGCTGCTCTTTACAATGATCTAATCTGGAGATAACCTCTCCTGTCTTTAGTGCTTTTCTCCAAGAATCAAATGTTACTGCAATAGCCATCAGATATTTTCTCTTATCTCAGTTATTGAATTTTTATATAAAAATCCCTCCCCCCACCGATTTCAGTCCTTTTCTGTTTATTAATATTTTCACAAAACATTTGCACATTTTTCTATCTAAATATCCAGTGTTGATGTAAAATCTCAAATGTTGTCCTTGTAATTGACAAACATTAATGTAACACTGTGCTTTGTCATAAACCCTCCATCTTCAGCCCAACAACCTGGAGAGACAATCAGGATCAGGATGAGTCCCCATGTTCCCTGCCTCAGAGCTCTTTCCCCACAGCCAGCCTGACGCACTAAGGCATATCTGGGGCCTACAAAGCCAGCCATCGAGGCAGCAGGCAGCCCAACATTTGTATTTACGGGGCAGCTGCTCCTGTTCTGGGGGTCTGCAGTGGATGGGTTCCAGGGCTGGGGAAATAAAGCACCAAAGAGAGTTCCCAGGAACCCACCAACTCTACTAAGGGCCATTTTTGCTCATTATCCAACACAGACGACTCCGGGAGTTTGAGAAACTAAATTCTACTTTATTAATTAAAACCAGGAAATAAAAGCAAAACTCCCCCCACTGCCTAGGAACCAGCAACAGGCCTGCTTTTTAAAGCTGGTAGAAAAGTGCAGACACTCCCTGAGAGATGCTGAGATCCAATCAGAAAAACCAACGCTCTGAGTGCAGGAAATGCAGAGAGCTCAGGTTAAGGGGAGCCAGCGAACAGGGTGCATTTTACAGCAGCATCCCTGCTGAGGCTTCTATTCCTGTGGGGATGTCCCTGGTGTGTGTGGGGAGCAGGGGGAGAGTGGGGCAGAGAGAGTCAGACTTAGATCTACAAAGGTATTTAGGCTCCTAACCTGCAGATTTAGATCCCTAAATCCCATTTTTCGGAGCCACTGCAATCTACAAAACCCTCACTCAACTGCCGCCCAACCCCATAGGTGCCTAAACTCACTCGGCATCTAACTTTTTGCTGTAACAGTTCCCTAGGCACCTGTTTCTGCCTCTGGGCATGTGCACTGCTGCCGCTGCTCTGTGTGTGTCCAGGCACCTCAGCCCCAGAGCGATCCATGAGCTTGGGGGAGACAGGCGTTTGCCTGCAGGGAGCAATCAAGAAGATGCTGTCCCTTTAGCCCAGTGGTTAGGGCACTCACCTAGGAGACAGAGGTTCAAGTCCCCCTCTAGCTAGTGAGGAGAAGGGATCTGCTACCGCTCAGGTGAGAGCTCTAACCACCAGGCTATGGGATATTCTGATGGGGGGTGGGGGGTGTCCTCTCCTACTGAAGTTGTTCCACTTTAATTCAATAATGTAATATTAATGAGGCCAAAGAAAACGTGAGAATTGCTCTACAGCCCAGTGGTGGCAGATCACTGATCAAATCCCTTCTCATCAGGCAGAAAAAGGACTGGAACAGGGGGCCTCCCACAACCCAGGTCAGTACCCTAATCATGGGGCTAAATTTTTTTAAAGAAGGGCCTCCTCCCCCTCCTCCTTGGATGTTCTGGAGCCTTTGTGCATGGAGAAACCACAGGTGCACAGTGGGCTGTCCCCAGTAACCATTGTTAACCAAATATATCCAAACAGGAAAGGCCTGGTTACATACACACTGCTGCTCCTCCAAGTGGTTTCTGACTGCTTCTAAGCATAGAACACTGTGAGCACCACTAGAGGGCTCACAAACCATTTAAAGAGATCCCCTACACTATATTCTCCTCCTTCCTTAACATAAAAGGATATTATAGAAAAGTTACAAATGTATTCTCACTCCTGCTGTTACTCAATATACAACATGCTACAAAATCAGTCTGAGGTGATTTATGATTTCCTCGTCTAGACAACATTTCACAGGCATCACAACAGCCTCTGGAACAGTGCCTGTGTTTCTGGGGGAGCAACACCTTCCTGCTGTGTAGTGTTAGGGTCACTTGCAGTAGAAACTGGGACGTGAGACTCACTGGTGCTATCACGAGTCAGTGGCTGCGGCTGTATTGTAGGCGGTCTGTTTTCAACAGGCATCACTGGGGTAGGACATCTTGGGGAACATGTGCTAAAAACCTGGTGCTGATATCTTCTCCATGACATGTTTGGTGCCACTTCTACCCAATAAGACAGTGCTCTGGGCAGTGACATCATCAGTCAAGGCTTCTATTAATTATCTCTGTAGTCTCTTACTAAGACACTTTCTCACACATGAAAACTGCGTAATTCAGGATGACTTTTTGCACTCAGTTGATCAGACAGTATCTTATAAATGTCCCTCGGCCTTTAACAAGTCCAGTCCGGACATTAAATGATGTCTCATAAGCTACATCACTCACGTCTGATTTGTTGCAGTACTTATTGCATTTCTATAGGCCAAGGGAAAATTCACAGTCTTGTGTTATAAGTTACCTTTATCCAGAGGCATAGCCCAAATCACTTGCTTGAATGGCTGGATAAACCATTCCAGTAATCCCTGTGTGGCAAGATGGTGAAGAACTGGTGTGATATGTTTGATACTATTTATCTGACATACAATTTAAACTCTTTGGATATGAAATAGCGGTATTGAACTGCTACCATATGAGGAGAGATTAATAAGACTGGGACTTTTCAGCTTGGAAAAGAGACGACTAAGGAGGGATCTGATAGAGGTCTATAAAATCATGGCTGGGGTAGAGAAAGTAAATAAGGAAGTGTTATTTACTCCTTCTCATAACCCAAGAACTAGGGGTCACCAAATGAAATGAATGGGCAGCAGGTTTACAACAAACAAAAGGAAGTATTTTTTCACACAACACACAGTCAACCTCTGGAACTCATTGCCAGAGGATGTTGTGAAGGCCAAGACTATAACAGGGTTCAAAGAAGAACTAGATAAGTTCATGGAGGATAGGTCCATCAATGGCTATTAGCCAGGATGGGCAGGGATGGTGTCCCTAGCCTCTGTTTGCCAGAAGCTGGGAATGGGCAACAGGGGATGAATCACTTGATGATTGCATGTTCTGTTCATTCCCCCTGAAGCACCTGGCATTGGCCACTGTGGGAAGACAGGATACTGGGCTAGACAAACCATTCGTCTGACCCAGTATGGCTGTTCTTAAGTGCAGTCACTGTCTATTTCACTCTATTCCTGGATTAGGATCCCATTATTTCAACAACTGTTATGTCTTTTGCTCTTTACGTAACATACATAATGTGAAGAAACTACACAAGCACAGTGGAGACCAAATAGCTGTGTTTTGTACATATATTCAACATGCAAAGACCTAGGTACATACCTATACCACTGCTCTGGCCTCAGAGAAGACAGTGAGGGCCAGCAAAGGCCCTCACATACAATTTAAAGGGACACTACCCAATCCCTTTACACTACACTGGGTTTGCACTGGAAGAACAGAGCTGGAGGAGGACCTAAGACAAAGGCAGGAGGAACTCTCAACCCCAGCAGGGAACATTTTTGTGTGGTGGCTCCCATCTGGTGTCTTCAAGACTCTTTTGGGGGTGGTATTTGGTTACATGATGGAGACAGAGCCTAATCCACAGTTTACACAGGGGTGTCTGGGTGTATGCCCACCAGTGTGCAGGGATGGGGCCGAGAATGCAGAGATGCTCCACTAAATCCCCGGCAGGTGGCGAAGCTCTGAGTTTTCACAGGGGTGGCATTGAGTCCAGAGTATATAGGCAGTATCCAGAATTGTAGAGGCTGGCAGAGGGGCTGCAGAGCTAGGCAGAATCCCCACGGGCCAGATGATTTGGGTTGGTCTTGCCTGGTTAAACACGAGATCAACACACATAACACCCAAGATGGCAACTGACGAATGTAAGTTATCTACTTTGGTCAGCCCTAATAGACTCTAGTGTGGAGTCTCTGATGCGTTACGAGATTTGAGCTGGTGCTAAAACATTTTTCACATTCGCCGCATCTATACGGTTTTTCTCCCGTGTGGATTCTCTGGTGTTTAATGAGATTTGACCTTTGGCTGAAGCTCTTGCCGCAACTGGGGCATTTATAAGGCTTTTCTCCTGTATGGATTCTCTGATGCCTAATCAGAGCTGAGCTTTGTGTGTAGCTTCTCCCACAGTCCAGGCATTTATAAGGCCTCTCTCCTGTGTGTAGTCTCTGGTGTCGGATAAGGTCTGAGTTTACACCGAAGCTTTTTCCGCACTCGGGGCATGTATAGGATCGCTCACCCATGTGCAGTCTCTGGTGCCTAATGAGGGCGGTGCTCACAGTGAAGCTTTTTGCGCATTCGGGGCACTTGTAGGGTTTTTCTGCCATGTGTGTTCTCCGATGCTTAACCAGGGCTGAGCTCTGGATGTAGCTTTTCCCGCACTCGGAACACTGATAGGGTCGCTCTCCTGTGTGGATCCTCTGGTGTATAGTGAGCTGTGAGCTCACGATGAAGTTTTTCCCGCAGTCGGGGCACGTATAAGGTTTCTCCCCCGTGTGGAGTCTCCGGTGCGTGATGAGGTTGGAGCTCACGTTGAAGCTTTCCCCGCAGTCAAAACATTTGTAGGGCCTCTCCCCGGTGTGGATCCGCCAATGGGTGATAAGATTGGAGCTCCGTTTGAAGCTCTTCCCGCACTCAGTACACGTGTGTCTTCTCTCCCCCTCGGGGTTTCTCGGCTGGGCTGGGGTTTCCTTGAGGCCCTTGCAACCTCCCACACCATTGTTGGATTTGCCACCTTTCTCTGATGGATGATTTCCCTGCTGCCTCTTTAGCCTGTGCCGAATCCCACAGCCTTCTCCCCGCTCGGGGTCCTGGGAGACATGCCCTTCAGCTCTTCCTGATAATGTCCCATGGGGTTCCACTTGTTCAGGACAATCCTGCTGAGGATTTCTCCCCTGGTTCTCACTCACCGTCCCATCACGTGCCGGGATAGAGAATCCAGACATGAGTCCTTCCCTGCACTGGGGAAAAAGGAAAGCTCAGAAAGGGAATAGAAAATCAGGGGGGGTTGAGGAAATGAAATACAGTAACCGCTGGGGTGGTTGAGAAAAAAAGGGACCCGATTTAGACACTAAGAAGAGAGGTCAGTGGGGAGCTATTGCCAGATGTCAGTCGGGACTGGTGGAAACCATGAGTGACGTCTGCCATGAGGATATGACACATACTGGGCGTAAGAGATGGTGGGGCAGAACTGGGAGAACTCACAAGGTTTTTGAGCGAATCTCAGCTGATGGTTCCCTACATCCATTTCACTGGTTCCCCACCTGCGCAGGTACCTCTCGACATCTCCCTCTCTGCAGAGCCCTGGAGATCTGGGACCCACAGTTCTTCCCCTCTTTTGAACCAGACGATCACGTCAGATTTGGGAAGGAGAAATCCTGCCCAGGGAGTGAAATCAGGCAAGATCAGGACGCATTATATATTCGTAGAATATCAGTCACAAAGAACATTCCCTTATTTTAACCAGCCCCCATGCTGTGATAGGGATGTGTGAAATGTGAATATAGGAGAACGTGGTCACTGACTCCCACCCCCATGGGAGAGGCAGATGTCTGTGTGGGGAGATATTGCACCTCAGTAGGAGTTTCTGAAGGACATGCTAACTCAGACCCAGCTCTGATATAAAGTCCCTGCCTGTTTCTAAACCTGCAGAGGCCAGGGCTGACCCCACAGATGGAGCGAGTCCCAGAAAGGGAGGGGAATTGGGGTTCTGTGTGAGAGAGTGAATACAGACGGGAGAAGAAGAAGCTTCTGCCCCCATGTAAATTATGGGGGATGGATATGAAGTAGGATCTCCCTTAGGTTTCTGACTCCCCTGGCCCATGGGAAAAGGTATAGAGCTGAAAGTCTCTCTCTCACCAGACTGGGGACTACGGGGCCCAATCCCCTACAGCCTAAGAGACCAGGAAAGGACCTGAGCAGAAGCCAAACTGGGCACATCACAGACCCTACAGCTTCTAACAATCAATACTCCTGGGGGAATTCTGCACCAAAAAAATAAAAATTCTGCACACAATATTTGAAAATTTTGCAAAATTCTGCATATTTTATTTGTCAAAATAACACAGTATAATCATGCCAGTTACAATTATTTTGATAATTTATTTCAAAATATCTGTCAGCAAGTATGTCTGTAACAATACAGATTAAAAGAAAAAGATTCTGGTAATTTTTTTTTTTTTTTTTCAATAGATTCCTTACGAGGCATATTAATACATAACTTAGTGTAATTCATTTACATTGCAATACAGAATTGTATTTTCTGCACCTGTCAGAAGCAGTGCAAAGGCTTTGGGGAGTCAGGGGTAACGGAAGAGCTGAGGGAGAGGGAAGGAGCCTAGGAGTGAACCTGGAGGGTGTTGGGTGTGAGTATGTGGTTTTTCTTTGCAGGGGGGCAGGGGGGAGGGAGAAATGTTACAGTGTTGGGAAGCCTCCTCCATGCATACCCTGGCTGACCCCACGCCTCTCCCATTCAGCCAGGCATATCTGCCCCTGTCCCTGCACCTCTCATCCCTATGGGTCTCTGCAGCCCCTCTTCCCCCGTCCCTCAACACCGTCACCCCACTAGCTCCTGAGCCCATGCTCCAGTCTGTCCCATTCTGAACCCCAGTCTGTGATCCCCCAGCAGCCCTGTGTGCCCCTCTCTGTCCTGACCTGGCTCCGCGAGCAGGGTGCTGTGATAAACTCTACTCCTGGAAAAATTCTGCAGCATGGGGCACAGAATTTTGTATTTTCCCGCATAAAATACATTTTGCCTAAGAAGTGCTGCAGTTTCACCTTTTGCCCACCAGAGGCCGCTGTGGTGCTGCTGTTCTGGCGCCACAATGGCCTCTGGTGGGTAAAAGGCGGAACTGCAGCACTTCTTAGGCAAAACGTTTCTTATGCGGGAAAATACAAAATTATACGAGACAAATGAATTCTGCACATCTGCAGAATGCGCAGAATTCCCCTGGGGGTAAATCAAAAGGACAGGAATCCCCTACCCAGCGAGGTCACCGTCTCGTAATTCTCCTGCATGACGTCCCTGTAGAGGGCACTCTGACCGGGGTCCAGCAGAGCCCCCTGCCCCTCGGTGAAATACACAGCCACCTCCCCTAGGGTCACTGGCACCTGAAACAGCCACAGGCACCCATTCAGTAACTGCTGCCCCAGCCACAATCCCACTATTCACAGGGGAGGAGGGCCAATAAAATGGAAGCTATGAGAGAGCAAGAGCAGCCAGGAGGCTTCAGGGGGTGAGGAGAAAGAGAGAGCTTCTTGTCTTTCCCAGAAGACAGAGGAGGGCGGTGCCATCACATTTAATCACACATCTACTAGCTGATACAGGAGATGGAGGCACCAAGCAGGGGACAGGGACGGAGCCCGGGTGGGAATCCCAATACGCTCCCCATTGCTAGCTGCTGGATGTGAGGAGATAGGGCAGCTCCCCTGGGCCTCACTGCTGGGTGGCCCCTTCATATTTCATAGTAGCCTCTGGCTACTGGGCTCAAGCTTCCACACGGAGAGGCTGGCAAGTTTCCCCATTTCTCTTCAGGGGCTGTTTACTGTTCCATAAATTGGGGGAATTCTGCCCTCTTCCAACAGGCCTGTTCCTATAAACCAGGACCCAGATTCAACAAGTCCCAGCAGGTTTCTCACACCCTGTCCCCCTCTCTTTCTCCTCTTGTGTCTCCTTCAGGACAGGTCCCTGAGAAATCCCCTACCTGAATCGGCTTCACTGCAGCCATTCCTCTACCCGGCCCCTCAGGAGAATGGGACAATCTGGAGCGAAACGTGGATGTTATTCTGCAGCCTGTCAGGGCAAGAGGAATGATTGTGGTGATTGCAGAAGGAGTTTTAGTCCATTTCACACCCCAATTCTCAACAGGCTCTTTCCTTGCAGAGAGACTCTGCCTGGCTGGGAAATCATTTGGTCACTTTGTAACAGCCCAGACCCAGACTCTCCCAAAAACATTTTTAAACCCTCCGCATAGCAAAGGGAAATTTCACTGCCCCAAAAAACTTTGTTAACACAGAGGTAAGGTGACTGACCCCCCTCGTGTCCTTCCAGACCATTGAATCAACTCTGTGTAAACCTCTGAAAACCAGGAATGAAAGAGTTCCAGTACACACTAGCCCTGGCAGTGTTTTCATACTGGGGATGTTTACCCATCCCTGTGGAACTCTATGGGAACCCCATGGCTTATCACTAGGGCCCTACCAAATTCACGGCCATGAAAAACACGTCATGGATCATGATATCTGGTCTTCCCCCGTGAAATCTGGTCTTTTGTGTGCTTTTACCCAGATTTCACGGGGGGGGGGGGAGAGAGACCAATGTTTCTCAAATTGGGGATCTTGACCCAAAAGGGAATTTCAGGGGGGTCCACAAGGTTATTTTTTGCAGGGGTCATGGTATTGTCACCCTTATTTCTGCACTGCCTTCAGAACTGGGCAGCTGGAGAGCAGTGGCTATTGGTCGGGCACCCAGCTCTGAAGCTGCCTCACCAGCAGCAGTGCAGTACCGCAACCCTCCCCTACAATAACCTTGCGACCTCCCCACAACTCCTTTTTGGGTCAGGACCCCTACAATTACAACACTGTGAAATTTCAGATTTATATAGCTGATATCATGAAATTTACTATTTTAAAAATCCTATGACCGTGAATTTGACCAAAATGGACCGTGAATTTGGTAGGGCTCTACTTATCACTGGAAGCAGTAGCCGGCTCGGGGTGTGTGTGTGTGGGGACAACAGGACAGCAATGGGGTCAGATGTGTAAATCAGGAATAAACCCACACACACACTCTCTCTCGCCGCTCCCTGTTATTGCCCTAACTGCACAGAGATGGCTACATCTGCCACATTTCAAGTTCTCTCTCCCACACATCTTCTTTTCCCTGCATCTCGGTCTTATTTTTCACCCCCTCCCTGACAACTCCTCTGACCAAACGGGATACCCCACTAAGGTTTATTCATGGTCCCCCTGAAGCGTCTCTCTCCTGCAGTTTGGCTCTTGGTGCAGACAACCCCAAAATCGTGAGCCAGACCCCCAAAATCATGACATTTGCTAAAAATAAAAATTAAAAAAATTGCAGATTTGGTTTGTGTGCATTTAGGCTATTGTGGTTTTACTTAAGTCATCAAGCTTTTCTGTGCAACCTTGAAGGCTAGAAGCTGAGTTTTAATGACAGCTGAGAGTCTCACCCTAACGCCTGGACTAGAAGGGCAGTGTCTGCCCTGAGATCTCCCAGACACAGTTTAGAAAGGCAGCAGATCAGTCTCCAAAAAGCGGGAGAAACACAGGACCAGACCAGTGGCTCTCAGCCTTTCCAGATGACTTTCCCCCTTTCAGGAGGCTGGTTTGTCTTGCATACCCCCAAATTTCACCTCACTTAAAAACGACTTGCTTACAAAATCAGACATAAAAATACAAAAGTGTCACCACACACTGGTACTGAAAAATTGCTTCCTTTCTCATTTTGTCTGTATGAAATTTTAGCTTGTACTGACTTCACTAGGCTTTTTATGTAGCCTGTTGTAAAACTAGGCAAATAGCTAGGTGAGTTGATCTACCCCCTGAAAGACCTCTGCACACCCCCTGGAATACATGTATCCCTGGTTGAGAACCATTGGACTGGACTAGAGGACCTGGGGCTTTAAGAAAAGCATAAAATAACAGGAGACTGGGACTGCCAGATCTGAGACTGTGCAAAGTCACTTTCCTGCCCGGCCCCAGCCCTTTCCCCCAGGTCTTTCCCCTCACCTACAGGCTCCGGCTCCGGCGCTGGTGTCGGCAGAGCCTGGGGCTGGTTCCAAGCACCGGAGAAAGTTCCCACCAGGGCTGGGCACAGAGGGGGTTTAATGCAAGTCTCCCCCCGCACAGACCCCACGCAGCAGCTGCTCAGCCCGGGCTCCCAGGTCACAACAGAGGCAGCAGCATCTTCCATCAGGCTTTAGCACTAACTCACATCAGGATCCGCCTGGGCTCTGATTCCTCTTCCTTTCCCCCCAACAGCTCCTGCCTCCCTCCTTTCCCCTCCCAGCATCAGCTGCTGGAGCCCAGCTGGTTTAGTCCCTTCCTGTGCCCTTCAATACCAAGTCGGGTAGCAACACTCACAGGGGCTGTCTCAGGCTGGAAGAAGCCTTGTTCCCACAGAGCCGGGAATAGAACCAGGTGTCCGGACTCCCTGCCCATCCCCCCGGCCTGAGATCGTCTCAGCCTGGAGGGGTTTGGGTTTGGTTTTCACTACAGCTGGATCCACCCACACCTTGGAGAGGCCCCAGGCACCAGCCAATCCCCGGCAAGGAGACACCCCACCCCACCCTCCTATGTCCCTTTGCAAAACCTTCCCCTGAGCCCTGGCAGCTCAAACCCGGCGGCTGCCCCATGGCCCGGGCAGGGAGCGCTGCAGGCAGGGCGCCACTCCCCGAGCCTCAGCGCTGGGAGGAAGCGGAGCAGAGCCAGAGCCCATACCCCGGAGCCTGCTGCAGCCCTGGGGGCAGCTGGGGAGCACGGTGGGGATCCCCAGCGGGCAGCTGGGGGAGCGGATCTCCAAGGGGGTTGTGCGGAGCTGGAGGATGCTCCGGTGCTGGGGGCGTGTTCAGAAGTGGGGGGTTGCAGGTGCGAGGAGGGTGCTTATCACTGGGGTGTGTGGGGAGCTGGAGGGTTAGGGGGTGTCACGGGGAGGTTGGGAGCTGGTTGTTGGGGGGGCGCTGTTTGTAACTGGGGTGTGTGGGGCATGCGTGGGGGGGGGGTGGGGCGGGGGTGTGGAGATGGCATGGGGGGATGTTTGGAGCTGGGATGTTTCAAGTTAGGGGGTGTTGGTGCCTAAGGGCGCCACCTCTCAGGTACAAAAACCGGGACATCTGGGATGATGCAGAGCCCACACAGCTGGCCAGCGGGAGGTGTGGAATCAGCACCCTCAGATTTCCTGGGACTGCAGCTTCAAAAAGAAAAAAGGATCTTCCGGGGAAAATCTAGGCAGGTGGCAAGCCTGGTGTTTGAGGGGACTGTGGCTTTATGAGGTTGTGTGTGGGGGGGTGGGGGAAGGATATTTGGAGCTGGGATTTGTGCCGGGCACTGATTCTAACTTGGTGGGAGGGCGGGGCGGGGGAGGTTGAGGTATGATAGTGGGGGGAGCAGGCAGCTGGTATGTGGGAGTTGATTTATGGGGCAGTGGTTGGAGCTGGAGTGGTGGTTGGTGGCTGTGTTTAGAACCAGTCTGCAGGGAGATGTTCGGAGCTGGGGTGAGTTGCCGGGGTGGGAAGGGGTTTGGAATTAAGGCTATTTGGGGGGGGGGGGGGATGATTGGAGCTGGTGGTTTGGGGCTGCATTGCCCACACACACACACTTGAGCTGCTACTGTTTTTCTCTGTGGAAAATCCGCTGGCCCATGGCCTTGTCCCTCTGACATCTATTTCTGCTGAACCCACAAGGCTGAGGGCCTCCTCCTGCCCTGGGATCTGTATGAGCGAGTGCTGAGGATGCTGTACCAGCATCTGCAGGGCAGGACTGGGGCCTGAAATTTGGCAGCTGGGAGGCCATTGGCGTCAGTTTGTAAAAAAGCACCTTCTTCCCCCTCTCCCCCCGCTTCCAGGAGATGTCACAAGCGTGTCTGGCCTGTCTGAGGAAAGAAAGAGGAGAAGACAAAGCTTATAGGGAGAGGAAAAGCAAAGAACCACTGGTAGGTACCCACAGCCTTCCACTCAAGTTTACCTGGGATCGGTTTGCCCTGAGCGACATGGCAAATGCAGGGCGCGTCCTGCAAGCCTCAGCCAAGAAACCCTCCTCATTGGAGCCTAGGGAGAAGGGCAGGGTTGGGCACATGTTTGGTAATGTAATAATCTCCGGGTGCGAGAGGCTGCTATGCAGGAGAGGGTCTGTCTGTGTATTGGCTTGGGGAGACCCAGCCCAAGGGCTGGTCTGATGTTACAGTGACTGGGGTTTCTCTAGAGCAGTGGTTCTCAACCAGGGGTACATGTACCCTGGGGGTACTCAGAGGTCTTCCAGGGGATACATCAACTCATCTAGATATTTACCTAGTTTTACAACAGGCTACATAAAAAGCACTAGCGAAGTCAGTACAAACTCAAATTTCATACAGACAGTGACTTGTTTATCCTGCCCTATATACTATACACTCAAATGTAAGTACAATATTTATATTCCAATCAATTTATTTTATAATTATATGGCAAAAATGAGAAGTCAGCAATTTTTCAGTAGTAGTGTGGCTGTGACACTTTTGTATTTTTATGTCTGATTTTTGTAAGCAAGTCGTTTTTAAATGAGGTGAAACTTGGGGGGTACACAAGACAAATCGGACTCCTGAAAGGGGTACAGTAGTTTCCCCAGCAGGGCTCCCCACCCCAGCTCACCTCTGTTATGCCCCCTCCCTGAGCACGCCGCCCCCGCTGGCAATGGCCGCTGCGCTGGGAGAGGGAGTCTGAGCCACACGTGTCAGCGTGCCGCTGGCAGCCTAGCCCAGGAACGCTGTAAAAAAAAATTGGGGGCACCGCTTTTTGGTGCCCCCAAATCTTGGTGCCCTAGGCAACCGCATAGTTTGCCTTAATGGTAGCACTGGCCCTGTGCACACGGGAGAGAAACCCTACGCCTGCTCTGAGTGCGGGAAGAGCTTTAGCTACAGCTCGTCCCTCGTGACGCACCAGCGAGTCCACATGGGCGAGAGACCCTATCCCTGCCTGGGCTGCGGGAAGAGCTTCCGGCAGAGATCCAACCTGGTTGTGCATCAGATACTTCACTGTGTGAATAGACCTTACAACTAAACAAACGCCTGTCCCATCCCCAGAGCATTTGCAGTTCTCAGGAATGCCAGGGGGCATTCAGTCGCCAGCTGCCTGTCTCTGAGGTCAGGAGACAGCAGAACCTACTCCAGCCTGATCAGTACCGTTCTCTGGCTCGGCAGGCGGAGGAGGAGAGACCCTGGTCGGCTCCACCTTCCTGCTGCAGCCCCAGCTTCTAAGTCCTTTGCTTCATGGCAGGGGAGGAAAGAGATCCTCCCATCTGCCTTCTGTGCCTGGGATGGACGCCTCTCCCTTCCCTATCCCTGGAGAAGGATACTCGGGCCATGCCTCACTCCCGAGACCTGTGCCTAGCTTCCCCCAGCACCTGGGGTGGGATCCCCACTCACCTGAATTTGTTACCTGGGGGATGGACACCCCATAGACCTTGTAATCCCCTCAAAGCCCCCACGGGACTGGCTGCTAGGCCTTGCTGTTTGGGTATCCATTCCCCCAATGGTTATTTGTCTCACGGCCGTTTGTTTTCGCTCATTTTCTCCTCTCTTGTCTGTGAGACTTCCCAGATGGCTGAAATATGAAAATTTATCAATAATAAAACAAAAGCATGCTGAGTCTCAGGCCCCTGGTTACAGGAGACTCAGCAGTTTCTTCTGGCACAGAAATCCTTGGGCCGAGAGGCAGCGGCAGGGTGAGGAAGGTTAGATCCTGAGGCCTGCCACGATGTGATGAGAAGGGAGGGTGTGGGGGAATGTGGAGGGCTGGGAGAGCTGTAGGGGGTCGCACTGAAAAGTTGGGAGAGCTGAGAACGGCTAACTCACTGCACCAGCAATGGAGATGCAGGAAACCGCATTGGGGGGGATGCTGTTCCTCAACAGGAAAGGGCTGCAAATGACAGCCCCGGAGGAGTGGGTGCTGATCCTTGACTCCGGAGAGGAGTGTCAGCAGAGCTAAAACAGACCCTGGGGCTACTCTCCCCCCAAGCCATACAAATCAGCTGGAACTGAAGCCAGGTCCCCCCACCCATCACCAAGGCCACAGGGAGACAAAGTCCCGGACAGCTCACCCTATCTACTGCAGTGTCCTGTGTGGGGACAGACATCCCCTGAGATACGAGGGGAAATGTGCACTCTGAGCTGGGACCAGAGGGGGATTAAAGTCTCTTGGGGCCCTGAGCCGGAGCAAGTGAGGGGCCCTGGCGCCAGATCTGTAGTCCCACCCCCATTCCACCTCTTCTCTGCAACACCTCCTCCCCCCCGCTTGCTTGCTCCTTTCTACCCACCCATCCCCTGCTGCAGCCCCAAGACCAAAGAAGCTCTGTGCCCTCACCTCAGCCCCAGTCCCGTAGCAGGGAGCGAGAGCTCCTCCAGGGCCACGGGGGGGGGGGGGGGGGGGAGGGGGGATTTTTCTGGGGGCCCCTGTTGGCCTGTGCGGTAAACTGCCACTGGCTGGGAGAACCATAGAAATCACAGAAAGCTGCAGTCCATGCCAAGTGGGATCCTCCCTCCCCACATAGAAAGGTGAGGAATTGGGCAAGGGTCAATGTGGGCAGGGGGCACTGGAGCTGTCTCGGTGGGGTGGTGGTGTCTACTCCCAGTGTCCTTACACTGCAGAGAGCTCCAAGGAGCTGAAGGCAGGCAGGGTTTTCCTGGGTGGGGCGAGTGTCTGAGGCCAGGATGGAGCCATGAAGGAAGGGGAAAAGACAATACTGCCTGGGGGCCTCAGCTGGCCCCAATGATTTCTGCAGCATGGGGCATGGGTCACTTGCAGGTTTAAACTAGTGTAAATGGTGAATTCTCTGTTACTTGAAGTCTTTAAACCATGATTTGATGACGTCAGTACCTCAGCCAGAGGTTAGGGGTCTATTACAGGAGTGAGGCTCTGTGGCCTGCAATGCACAGGAGGTCAGACTAGATGATCATGATGGGCCTTCTGGCCTTAAAGTCTATGAGTGTGCAGGGCTGCAGGCTGTCTGGGGAGGGTCAGCACTGGGAGGGGACAGTCTCGGCCATGGGTGTCACTGTCAGGGACAGAGATTCCCTCTGGCCTGGGCTGGAACCGGGCAGATTATCAGGGGAGCTGCGTTTTTACCCCCAGCACTGAGACCAGGACAGAAATAAGGACGTAGAATCCTGGAGAAGGTGTCAGTGAAAATGAAGAGATGGGACCTGTAAGTCACATTGAAAAATGAGACCTCGCCCGCCTCATAGTCCAGGAAAATCCCCACCTGGCTGGGCCTGATGCTCACGGGACGGGGGTCAAGT